ATCTAATAAGGAGAACTAGGAGAATTTAAGGTTTACTCTTCTTGGATTTTTAGGAAACTAAAAAAAATTCTACACAAAAAAGTCGATTCTATATTTATATAAATTTTATGTTACGGTCAAAGATAAGCTATATTCCAAATGTTATAAATATTGTAAATTAGCTATACAACAAACACACTAAATTTTCTGGATATAACAAACGTTCCTAAATTCCAATTTATGTTGCTGTCAATATATATTAAAATATTCACCTCAAAACCTACAACCACCATCCAAATTAATCGAAATGTCGAAACATTTGCTAGAATAACGATCTTTGAGCATTTGATTTTTATTTTATGTATGGCGTTTGAAAATTTTTAACACGTGTATAATAATATTTATAATTGAACATGAAACAATTTCGTGTGAAAAATAATTAATTGATATTTTTATTCTATGATTCTATGTGGTTATTTTTAAATATTCATATCAAAGCATTTTTGACATTATGTATGAATAACATGGTGTTTTGACAAATTCTGTTTTAACTAGTCATATAAAATAGTATAGACTGCTGTGCATCACTGCTATAATTTATTGGTATGTTGGACATCAATGAAGTTCTAGTAAATTCTGTCGTCTAAAATATTTTACGTGATGAGATATGGATCCAGTTATCTTTGCAGATTGTTCTGGAACTTAGGAATCGATTCTGCCGCATAACAAAAAAATGTTATGGCAAGGCCATGTTACGTTCCAACTTCCATACATTACGGTACTGAATCATATTAAATACTGTCTAAATGTCTTGTATTAGCTGTGAATTCAGCCGTTTTTCTCATAAACTGCAACGTCACTTGTATGTTATGAAGCTGGGTCAGAAAGACCCTGTATCTAAGATCGTTTATTTTTCTAGGTTAGGTTTTCTATATGACAACCTAAGTAACCACATGGCATTTGTCAATATTTAGTATGAAAAGTTCTTCATAACATAGCCTTGCCATAACATTGGTCTGCTATGCGGCAGAATCGGTCCGTCATTATCACTTGTTAATATTTTATAAATCAGCATGTTAATACTTACACAAACCTTATGGAAAAATTTTCTCATTATATTTAATTCTTAGTTAGTGATTAAATTTGATAAAATATAAGATACGGCAATCGGCTTTTAGCTATCAAGCCATAACCATATTTCAAAATTACTAGTTTTTTGCTAACGTTGATGTGTTTCTCAATACTCTATGTAAATTTTATGTAATAAAAGTAATTACAACTTAATGTTTAAACTAGTGGTGAGTGTGTATATGTGTAGTTGGATACAACTTTTTGTCGACGATTTTGGGAACAAGGTTTAAACGAATGATTCAAAAAGTTTTCCTATCAATAGGAATCAATAGGGAGTTTATTGATAAGGAGACGTGCTTATTAGTTTTTGTTTAAGGTAGGTACAGCCGTTTCGTAAATACGGGGCAAAAAGCGGCAAAAATGGTACTTAACATTGTACTTGACAAAATAAAAAATTGATTAAATTCTTGAAAAGGTCTAGCGGTTTCGAGAATCGAGAAAAAAAAAGAAAAAGCCATTTACTAGAAGGTAAAAAATAATCAGTAGACATATGCATATGAAATTACCAGATATTTTATAGTGATTTTAATAATAAGTACATATGAATTTTGTTTACATTTACATGGGTACTATACCAGTGATTAAACGTTAAACAGCGACGCGGCGCTTTTGCGCTTCGATATCCTTCTCTCGAATAGTCTCGCAGCACGATTGATTTGGAAAAAAGTTAAAATTTTGAAAAAAAAAATTAAAACACAAAAAAAAATCAAACTTTTCAAATAAGTCTTTTTTTTCAAAAATTTAAAGTTCTCAAAAATCTCATTTTTCCAAAATTTTCAAAAAATTTTAAAACATTTTTAAAAAAAATAATTTTCGCTACGAGAAGTTTCAGCAATTTGTCTTCGCATATCTGCCTCCGATAGTTCGTTATTTAAAAAATGCAAATAAAATCTGAAAAAGAACTATGTGAACTTCTAATAACAATGAAACACCGTTGTGGCGTTTGTATTAATTTTCGTTTCAGTTACATTTTTATCATTCTATCATATTGGTACAATTTATTAGAACAGTCGACCGCCACTTCGTAAATATTCAGTAACAATTCAATAAATATTCAATTTATGCATCGGCCTGTCTATCGCATTCATCATGGTTCAAAATTTATCGTACAGCCAATATCGATGTTTGTCGTCGATATTTATGCACACTTGTAAAGGTAAATTGTGGCATGTACTCGTATATACAGGGGACTATCAGATTTATTATTAAATTATATACGAACTATTTTTATGCTGATATTTTTGTGTACATATTCTTATCCATACAGTTTTTTTATTTTACACAGTTTGTTTCAACAATCAGATTACAATTTTAATCTACATATTAGTTGAAAGTGGGTATTTACAATCAAAACGAAGGAAAAAAAAAATAAACAAAATTAAATGAATAAACTAGTGTGGCGCATGGCACCATGCCTTAAGGCAAATTGCTGGAACTTACCGTACTGTAATTAAACATTCGAGAAATGAATGTTCCATTTTTTTGAAAATTTCGAAATATTCTCAAATTTTTGTAAGAAATTGCTTATTTTAAATTTTGATATTTTTCGAAATTTTAAAAATTTAGTTTTTTTTTTTGAAAATGATGAAAAAATTCAAAAATTTGAATTGTTTGAAACTTTGAATTTTTTTTTAAAATGTTGATTTTTTTTTCAATTTTCAAAATTATGCAATTTTCTGTAAAAGCATTATTTGCCCACCATCTACTCAAGCAAAATGTTTTTTGAATTAATTTAACCAGATGATCCGTTCTCTCAAAACCTGCATAACCGTTTTTACACCCTTTCCGCTCCATACCTCCAAAACGCCAGAATTGCCTTTTGCAAAAACGCCTCGTGATTGAATACGGTTGTTCCATACTGTCAAGAATGTCGAGGACATTTGTTTGAGCCATATACGTGAATTTTAAAATTAAAAATCTTGGTACGAAACCCAAAAAGTGACAGAGAATGTGTTCACATTATTAAAATCTCTATAAAATATCTGATAATTTGATGTGCATATGTCCAATGAACAAGTTTGACCGCCAATTGAGAGTTTTAAAATTTGAACGGATCTTCGTTTAGTCAATATAAATAAAATGTTTTTTTGAATTATTAAAATCTAACGCCTCGTTCTCTCAAAAAATTAATCACTATTGTTGGCACTTTTTGCCCCATATTTTTAAAACGGCTAGACCTGCCTTTGTCTTAAACTAATCTACACGTCTCCTTATCAATACGAATCGAATATTTTTTAAATTATTTAAATCGGGTGAAAATTTGTATTTGGATCCGCACACACACACATACATACATCCATTTTTTTTAAGGTATGCCAAAATGTTCAGAAGTTTTGAAACGTAAAGATATAAAAAAAATTTCATTTTTAATTTTTTGCGATTATAGTACGTTATAGTACCCTACGGGATGTTAATCATTAAATATAAAATGTTACAAAACAGTTTTGTCTAATTTTCTAAATTTTGTATGTTTGCAAATAGAAGTAAATAAATTATATCATAATGTTCTCCCAGATTGACTTCATAAAATAAAATGGTCAAAAATTCATTCATTTTCCAAAAGTCCAATTCATAATATTCCGGCAAGGATATTTATACCGCTGTTGTCGTGCAGAGAATGCCGTAATCTAGAATTATCACACAATAATAAACGTAAGAGGTCGTATTTGTTGCTCCGCAGTCGATAACTTATTCCTAATATATGTTTACAAGTATCGATAAATTGAAACAAAGTTAAAACATAAATAAAGTTTCGCTTTATCGCGCCACTATTTCTGCTGAGTCCGTCCGCAAACAAAAGGAACAGCATTGAAAATCTATCTTCATAATGGCACACAACCCACTTTCCGCGAAACTGTCTAAGTTATTTTCGTAAAACTTTGGAACAGTACCTAACAAATTAGACGCAATGTGTCAGAACGTCAACCCGATACCATCGGAGGGAACGCCGATGCCGATATAAACTTATCGTTAGCTATAGCTGTTGCTATAGCTGCCGTTACTAACGGCCACTTTATAAACTACGAGTATTTCGCAACGGACGAGCTAAATTACTGCACTCGATTTTTGGTTTTGAAAATAATATTTCACGCAGTTTTACTAGATCAATCATAAGTAATATTGACATTGATAGGGTGCAGGGCGCAAAGAGAGGTTACATTTTCAACTTCCCGTAGGGTAAGTTATAGTAATCGCAAAAAAATTGTAAATGAACATTTTTATACATCTTCACGTTTCAAACGTTTCTGAACATTTTGGCATACCTTATAATAAATTGATGTTTGTGTATGTGTGTGTGTGCGGATACAATTTTTTGTCGACGGTTTCAAGAGCACCGATCAACCGGTTTCAATGATTCAAAAACATTCTATTCTTATTGATAAGGAGACGTGCTGATAAGTTTTTGGCAACAGGTCCAGCAAAAAGTGCCAAAAATTGTAGTTCAGTTTTTGAGATAACGAATTGTGCGATTTGAATAATTCAAAAAACATTTTACTTGTATTCACAAAGTGAAGAACTGATTAGATTGGAGAGGCAGGTCTAGCAGTTTGACAAAAAATTCAAAATTTATTTATAATTAAAAATTTTAAAATATAAAAAAATAAATTTTTCAAAAGAGTCAATTTGTTTCAGAAATTTCAAAAATCTCAAAAATCTCTTTTTTCAACGATTTTAACAAATTTTCAAGTTTTTTTTTAACCTTAATTTTCAGTACGGGAAGTTCCAGCAATTTAGTATAAGGCACGATGCCATGCCCCACTAGTTTTTGTATAAAGTCCTATAAGCTAACTACGCCACTATTAACCAACTACGTCGGTTTTATAGATGACAACCTAAATAGTTGTCCCATCTCTATGATGCATTTTATTATTACTATTTCTGTAATAGTGATGACGCAGCATTGCCGGGTAAGGGTTGTTGCCACTTAAAAACATTTGGTCACTGCTGCTTGACATCAAGCTATCCGAAGCAGGTACCAAAACTGAGAGCCAAAATTCAAAATTCCATCTATGCATTAATCCAGTCTTTCTCAAAGTGGGCGATATCGCCCCCTGGTGGGCGATATTGAACTCCAGGGGGGCGATGAAAGGCCTCGCGAAAAATGTTGGTTGTTGACGTTGGATTAGGGGGCATTTGTAATTTTATTTACTTTACATTTTAAAGTTCACCAGAATTTGTATCCCAACGATTAATTGGTACTTCCAATGTTTGGTCGTATTTCCATGGTATTTGAACGATTTTGATGCCATTTTATAGCTTTTTACCAAAAATTAATATACCAATTTTCAACTCACTTGGAGTTAAATACTAACATATCCCAAAAGTATTTACCGACTATGTTGGAAATTTTTGCATTTTTAGGCCAATGAAAAACGGCATTAGGGAGATTAAATTTAAATACTTTTATTAAACACAATTGTAAAAAAAATATTTATTCTTCCGATCAATTAATATTGACAATGCATGCAAAGATAATCATTCTATAATAAACTGTTCCAAATTTCTTTCCATGACGTAATCTGATCGGAAAGTTTTATTAGCGGCAAGGGTATATGTTCTAATTGTTTAAAAAAGGGTCATTTACAATACAATTGCTTTAAAAGATATAGATGTAATACCTGTTCTCAAAAACATAATACTCCATAAAGATAGACTAACTCACCAGGTATAGACAACCCCGCAATGATAGCGGTACATACAAATCTCCCAACGGGGGGTGCACTTTCAACTACGGTAATTTTAATATTTAAAATTTCTTGCATATAAATATCTGTACTTTATTATAAATTGAAACAGTAGCGTTTCAGCAAATGTAGAGTAATGAGTGCAGAAGCATGTAAATTAGATCAAGATATTTCGCAAAGATAATAGTTGTTTTTATTCATTTTTTTATGGTGACGGGATAATTCTATATTACAGTTCACTAAATTAACTTTTAAAACTGATCGCACCCAACATTTTTCGCGTAATTTTTAAAAGAAAAGCCATGTCGCAAGCAAAAAAAAGATGCGTCAGTACAATGCAGAATATATTAAATATGGATTCATAGAAAATTCTATAAACCCATGTATGCCTTTATGCCTTCTGTGTTCAAAAACATTTTCAAATGAAGCAATGAAGCCCTCAAGACTTCAAGATCATTTGAATAGAATGCATCCGGATAAGAAGGATAAAAATGTTGACTACTTTCGAAATCTGGAAAAGATGTATATTGCTCAGCCTAGTGTGTCAAAACTTTTTTCTGTCGCTGCTAAGCAGGACGATGACGGACTTCGAGCGTCATACAATATCTCTCGGTTAATTGCCCAAACAGGTAAACCACACACTATTGGAGAATCATTAATTTTGCCAGCAGTAAAAGAAGTTATAACTACTGTGCTACATAAACCAGCAGCAGATATAATTCGTAAAATTCCTTTGAGTAATAGTTCTGTGCAAAGACGAATTGATGAAATGGCTGAAAATATTGAAGAATTATTATGCAATCATTTGAAGTCTTGTAAATTTTCACTCCAATTGGATGAGTCTACTTTACCAAATAATGAAGCATTGTTGTTGACTTACGTGAGGTTCATTAAAGATGAAGAAGTATGCCAAGAACTTCTATTTGTTAGAAATTTAGAGACAGATACAAAAGGAGAAACCATATTCAAAACATTGGAGAAGTTTTTTGATGAGAAAGATATTCCATTGAAGAATATTATATCAGTTGCTACTGATGGTGCTGCAGCTATGAGGGGTTGTCAAAAAGGATTCATAGCCTACCTAAAAAATAAAATTCCCAATGTTCTTGCTGTGCATTGCGTGATACATCGACAGCATCTAGTTGCCAAAAACTTAAGTGAACGATTGCATCAAGCATTGCAACATGTCATCAGAGCTATTAATAAAATCCGACACAACTCTTTAAATGAGAGATTGTTTAATCAGCTGTGTACCGCTAATGATGAAGAATTCAACAGATTGTTATTTCACACAGATGTGCGTTGGCTATCAAAAGGAAATTGTCTGACCCGTTTTTACAATCTGTTTGACTCCGTTGTAGAGTTTTTAGAAAATAAGGACACACAGTTGTGTAAAGACCTGATATCATCAAAAAATGATATAGCATATCTCACAGACCTTTATACATTACTCAACAATATGAATCTACAACTTCAAGGCGATGGCTTAAATTTAATAAAAACAAAAAATATCATCGCTGCTTTTATAGCAAAACTGTTATTACATAAGAAAAATATTGGCAGACGGGAGTTTCATAATTTTCCAAATTTATCGGTATCGTGCAACGAAGACTTGCTCGTGTACTGCCAACATTTGGAAAATCTTCATGGCAATTTTATTGAAAGATTTCAAGATATTTTGAATTTGGAAATACCAGGCTGGGTATTAGACCCTTTTTCAAATGCAAATGTAGAAACATCAGCCCAGCTAGAAGAAGAGCTTATAGAATTAACTACAAATGAAGAATTAAAAATCAAATTTAAAGATGGTTATCAACAATTTTGGCTACAGAAGTCAATTCAGCACTTATATCCTGGCTTGTGGTTGGTTGTTCAAAAATTTTTACTAGCATTTCCATCGTCATATTTGTGTGAACGTGGATTTAGCGCTGTGACAATGCTACTTACTAAAAACAGAAATCAGTTGCAAATTACCAAACGCGGTGACTTACGACTGTTTTTGAGTGAAATGGAACCTGATATTGACAAACTTGTAAAAAACCATCAAATTCATCCTTCTCATTAGAGTTTGAAAATAAAATTTTATATACTGTTTATATTAATTTGATTATAATATATAAAATATATGATTAATGTCATAAAGTTGCGTTTATTTGCTTTCACTGTAAAAATGTCTAATTTAGAATGTAAGGTTGCATCAACTAATATATCACACTATAACTATATTAATACAAGTAATAAAGAAACAGTTTTCAGAGATTGTATAAAAAATTTGTGGTAGGGGGGCGATACAAAAATTTGATCTTCAAAGGGGGCGATGGAAGAAATAAGTTTGAGAAACGCTGCATTAATCTAAGAAAAGCCTAGGTGAAATTATTAAAGAAGATTTCAGAGCTTCGACACCTAGGCCCGAATCTATTGAGGTTGTTTGGAAAGGTTTTTTTTTCAAGAACATTTCTCAAAATGGGATTTTAAAAGATAGATAAACCTCAAATCGACCCAACGTATTGATATTCACCGTAATTCGCTTTATCATCAAAATTACAAGACAGATAATTTTACATTGATATTTTTGTCTATTCATCAATATTCCCTGAATATAACAGTATTTTATTTTGTCTGAAACAAGTATATATAATAAATATTACGAAAGGTCTTAAATATCTAATACTATTGTATTTATAAAAACCTTTATATTAGATTAGAAAATTATTTAAACTGGGTTTTTTTATTACTGATTGAATTGCCATTGTGATGTAATTGCTTACAACATAGCATTATCATCAAGCAACCAAATGGTTATCCTTTCTAATTGTTAGAAAGATGAAAAAAAAATAGATTGTTATTGGTTGAGATACTTCTTAAAGTAATGTGATATATTGAGCAATGTCCTAAAATGCTATTTTAATTGTATTTAGATCTATAATTTCAAGTAAACACTGATACTACTGCTTGATATAAGGTTGTCCAGGACGAAAATTGAAATTTGTGGGTGCCAGACCAAAGCTCTTACCACTTGAGCCTTAAATAAGCTCTTCTATAATTTTTCTCATCATTTTAATAATATAATTACTTAGTACTTATATCAACTACTGAGGGTTAAAATGCATATTTGAATAAATGATACTGAACTGTTTACACATTTATCTATGCCCACTGTATAATTATTAGCATTTTATTATCAGATTATTGAGTAATACTAAAAAAGTTGAAACACAAAAGCAAATTTTATTTATCGAAGCTTTTTTATTGACGCGATAATTGAATATGTAGCCCCACGTAAACATTTTTTCACTTTTGCGACCGACCGTGAAAAAAGTAAAAACTAAAATTTTGTTCATACACAGAATGTGGTAGAGAAAAATATAAAGTAAACAAAATTCAAAAACATCATGAAAGAATCCTTTTATTTTTATTGAGAGTTAATTTATCGTTTGCAATAGCATCGATAGTAGTAATATTTCACTTATAAAACGCGATCGTAATTTACTGCGATGAATATGCATAGCTGTATAAAATAAATAATGAATTAATTCAAAGAACAATATTTGTATTGTGTAAAATACTGAAAAACAACGCGGTAGATTGCGACACGATATCGACGGCGTCGCAATGTCATTCTCAGAAACACAAAGTTGTTGCAAAAACGCGATTCGGTTATTGAAAAAGATAGATCTATCATTTCTGACAATATGAGTAATAACTTTATTGCACAAAAAATATTTTGACTGTGTGTGGTCTCGAAGAAATTGTTGAGGAGTAGTATTTGTGCAATATGGAGGGAAAATGAATCACTTGTTGGATAGACTATAGTACAAAAACTAGTTGATATTTTGCATTAAGGCAAGTTATATGAACTTCCTATCGTTCTATTTATAAAAAAAATAATTAATTTATGAGTGATTAAAAGTATTCCGAGTGCATTTATTACACATATTGAAACGAACGAACACGTTAACTCGGAGTATTTTCTAAAAGCAAATTTTCACAAATCAATAATGTTAATTTAAATTTATAATTAAACCAATTTCCGTAAGACTTTAATGGTTCAGTATGTTCATTAAGACCAAGTACTCTATCGTTGTACCAAGTAAATCGTCTGATTTTAATTTTAACAAACGTCAAAAACTACTTATTTTCTCAAATTTGATTAATTTTTAAAATTAAACTACTTGTCGTAAGGCCGGAATATTTCAGTAAGTTCTATAAGACCATGATATATATATCGCCAAAAAAAAGTTCCATAAAAATCGGCTTAATTTGTTTTCAACAGTTAATTACAAGAAAACAGCTCGGTAGATTTTCACTTAAAACTAATCAGTATCATTCCCAACTAATATCTTTCAAACAGTTTTTGATTTTTTAAAATCGATTCGGTAGTATGAGCTTAAATGTGGACCAAAAGTTTAACATTTTTTTCAAATTACACAGAAACGGCTCGGCAGATCTTTGCACAAAACTGACAAACGATAGTCCTCATTGAGATACATCAAATTTCTATTAAATTTTTGAAATCGGTCCTGCCGTTTTTGAGAAAACGTCGATTTTCGGCAAAAAATCTGTTCACACAGATACACACGCATACTTTTTTTCAATTTTGGTCTCAAGCGATTCAGAATGACTTGAAACGTCGAGAAAACATATAATTAGCAAATCGGATTTTTTTTACGGAAACAAACCTTTTCTTCAGAAAGTTAAAGATACAGTAAATTCATAGATAAAAAAAAGTCTAAATAAATCACAAACACGGACGCTTTGACATTACCTCAATTTTGATTTTTCCGTAATTCATAGAGGCGCCACCAACTGTAGCACGTAAATCTACTTCTAGGTTTAATTCTAGGTAATAATTAAATAAATATTTAATATAGAAAAGATAAACCTGATTAATTTGAACGCATGAGAACAAAATATACGCGGGTAGAATATATTTTCAGCTAAATTACAAATATGTTTTCACAAATATATATATATATATATATATATATATATATATATATATATATATAATAATAAGTGAATCAACAGTTCTTTAAAAAGAGAAGTATCTGTATTGAAATTAGATAATCATTTCATTAAAAAGAGCGATGAATTTAAGCCCAGTGCACCATCTGTTGAATGCAGAAAATACTAAAATACGATAACCCCTAATGAGTAAAGCACCATTCGATTTTTCACAAAGTTTCTTAAATAGTTAAACTAAAAAAATCGAAGTTTTATAATCGTTATGCAAATCGAAGCAATCTGATGGTAGCTGAATAACTCATTAAAATTATTAATTGATGATAAAAAAGTTGTAAGATTGTAATAAAATCGATTCTATCTGAACAGTTACTTGAATAGATCACCTTCTCCCTTTAGTGCATGAATTAAATATAGTCCAATCGAATGAAATAATTTATCGCGAAAAGAAACTTTTACGTCAAACGCAAATTCATGAACGTAGAAAATTCCAAATAGTGGATTCTTTCTTTAGAAGTGTGCGCATTAGAAAAGTACGATCGCTACTTTAGTAGTTTGCCGGTAATGACCATTCAGAGAAATTATTCATGGGCGAGCCACAAGAACAAGCACTATTATACACTATTACGGCCATAAATATCTACAGAACTATTTCGATTTGAATTCATAAATGCCGAAGCGCATTTCGACCAGACCATTCTCTGTTCTATTGCTTTTGTAAATAAAATTGATTTCTTCCAATCAGCTATCCCACTGACTAATCAAAAATCCCTCTCGTTTCATTAGATTTAAGATACCGATTGAGATTTTATTACGTATGAAAAATATTCAATGGCAAATATCAAAATAAACGAAATTTCTCTTGTCGAATTGATATTGTTATTTACGAGTGTGTGATAATAAAAATTTCCAATTCCAAAACTTTGCGAAATGATTTCGTTCGTTATCGAATTTTCATTATATTTTAGTGAGCAATAAAATATTTAAAATGTGCATGTGATATTTTCATGTTCGAATTGTAAAATGAATAATCCGAAATATAATCTCATGTCGTCTCTCTACGTCCGCCTACAATCAAGGACTTACGACACTGGTATATTTTTTTAACAAATTTATTTTTAATTTATCTATGGATATTTGATTTATTTTTAACCTATTCATATAAATAACGCTATTTCTATGTTTATAGCTTAATCTGATATATTATCACGTGAATCGCCATGTCACTCATATGTGCCTGAAACTAAGAAGATTAACGTGAGTAAAAAAAAGGTTTTAATATAGGGCCATTCAGTCAGATATGAGTGACAAAAATAGTGTTTTTTCCGAAAATTTGGCAGATTTAATTTCTTTGATATATTAAGTTTACTTTATAATATTGTCACCAATATTGCAATAACCTGTTAACATAGATGATAACATAGCGTTGTTATTGCAACGCTATCTTATCCTTCTTTCTTGGTACTAAAAACTGTGAAAATGCTATATATTTGCTGTGCGATCAACATATTTTACATATAAACAAACATAGAAAATTTTTTTACAGTTTTTAGTACCAAGAAAGAAGGATGAGATAGCGTTGCCATAACAACGCTGTGTTATCGTCTATGTTACCGCAAAATTGGCGCCCTTAGTTATAATGAATTTATTAAATTGATGATAAATATAAAATTTATATGATTGTATTTTAAAATCTCCTGATTTACTTTGTCGATTTTGACAATTATCATGAACATTAAGGGGCCCAATCTGCCGCATAACAGACCAATGTTATGACAAGGCTATCTTATAAAGAAATTTGTTCTAAATATTGAAAAAGTCTGCGGTTGCTGTTTGGTCAGGCGTTTTTCTTATGATGTCAGATAGAAAACCTAACCTAGAAACCGCACAAATGTACAAAAAACGATTTTAGATAATAGGGTCTTTCTGACCCAGCTTCATAACATATAAGTGACGTTGCAGTTTATGTGTAAAACTGCTTGAATGCATAGCAAATACATGACATTTGTACAGTATTCAGTATGATTCAGTAGCATAATGTATGGAAGTTAGAGCGTAACATGGCCTTGCCATAACATTGATCTGTCAGAATTGGCCATGAAA